AATACTGATGTTTTCTGCTGAAACCTTGAAATCCCACCACCAGTAATCTAAATAATGATGTAGGCAAGTGAACATAACATTGTGGAACAACAAGTCTCAAAGCACATACTTAGTAGACATAACTGAATGTATCCCCATAGTCTTCCTTCTGTCATCTCTGGTCCATGTTGGGTTTCTACTCATTCACTTTCGAAACATTCACTGCAAACTTAAGTATTAAACTTAAAAAATGGGATTTCCAGGTATGTTCTACATATTTACACACCAATCTTTACAATGGCTAAATCCTTGTGTATATTTATTACAACTCCTGTTCATTAATACAAAGTTATGCCCAGAAGAGTAAAGGCCAGTCATGCTGTAGCTGCTTTTGCTACTTTTATCTATTGTCAAGAGGTCTCATACACTGCTCTGCCTTAATTCCCCTTTCAGGCTTTTGAAGATATCTACATAGAACGTAGACATACTATTCGCACCATCTTGGAGTATGCTGATAAGGTCTTCACATATGTTTTTGTTATTGAGATGCTGCTCAAATGGGTAGCCTATGGGTTCAAGGTCTACTTCACCAATGCTTGGTGCTGGCTGGACTTCCTCATTGTTGATGTAAGTTGCAGCTTTCTGGAAGTAAGCAGTCCCGAGAAAGATTCCCCAAGATTCCTTTGGTCTTGCATTAAATTTGATTAATCATGTGATGATTTTGTTAGCTTCCGTTTCAAATTTTAGCCCTCAAAATATGAGAAACCAGTTTTCTTCTGTTAAATATATAACTTGACATGAATTCAGGAACCAGATTCTTTCCCCATAGCCAAATTAAAATGCCATTGACTCACCATTGGCAGAAAACTACCTTGTAATTTGATGTTTCTATTGATGATCCGTATACTCCCTCAGTTGAATCTGTTCTGAACAGCTGCTGAATGCTGTTGTTTTGTTTATGGTTTTCAGCATATCAACAGCCAATCACTTATTTAATTCTACCGGCTTTGCCATCTTCTTTAGGATCTTATCAGCTGGTAGGAAATCTTCCACTAATCATTGGACTTCAGCAGAGATGGCCTGGGTTTTATTGCAAAACCCCATTTGGTGGAACAGAATAACCAATAGAATGCTAAAAATATATAGCTTTTTTGTTCTTTCACAGAACTGAAAGACTGGTTCAATACCGTTTTCCCCCCAGCTATTAAGGGAGACAACAGAAGAATTGCAGACATAGCTAAGCTGGAAGGGAGGCGATGTGTATGGATGAATCTGAACCAGCTTCTAAGCATTCTTTTGAAAGAATCTACTCCTGATTACTGA